ACTGACATACAGTGTTCCTTTCTTGTCTACTGCTAGTCCATATGGCGATCAAACTCCACAGGACCTTTTCCCTTTCTTCCAAATGACTTGATAAACTCTCCATCAGTAGAGAATATTGATATACGATTGTTCCCACTTCACCAACATACACTACATTGCCAGAGTCAATAGCAATACTGACTGGCAGGTTTAGTTCTCCCTCTCCTTCTCCCTCTTCCCAAACTGCCTCAAGTACACTCCATCGACTGTGAAGACCTGGATTCTGTGGTTGTCTGATCAGCTACACATATGGTGGAGTGGTTGTGTTTTTCAATTTATCCCTCATTGCTGCTTACTCATACTAACTTAATATCAGAGTAGTACAATGGAGCCCTGTGAATGGTATTACTTTAGCCACCATGTTTGTAAAACGTAGCCTTTTTCTAACCAGTGTTAGGTGCCGTGTGTCCTTGACACTAGTCTGTCCAGTGAATGCTTTTGCAGAGTTTTGTGTTCTGCTACTCAATTGCCGTCATTTATTCCTGTCTACACTGGAAATTGTTTGCACGAGCCATCACATTTAATGTTACATGTCTACCACAGTTGTTGTGGTAATGAACAGTAAAAATAGAGCAATTCTCTTCTATATTGCATGATGCACACCAAGTAAATTAATTTTGAGTTTGTAGTAAGATGATGAATGTATGAAACCATCTGTACCAAGAGCAGAGAGTGGAAGAGAGCTTGATATGTGCGTGACTTGCTCACACTACAATATGTTATGTACTACGTGCGAGGGACATACCGGATTTCAATGAACCCGAGGGCCTCCGCGTTTGTAGTGTCCCGAGCGCAGCGAGGCACTACGCGGATGGCCGAGGGTTCATTGAAATCCGGTATGTCCCGAGTATACGGAGTACATAACATGTTTAGTGCAGAGCAAATCAGCTCCGTATACGCGCACTGCGTTTCCAAGCACAGGGAATTTGAAAGATGCGAGAAAGAGACGAGAGCGCAGACCGTCATCTCGTGCGGGACTATGAACGCCGAACGCTAGGATACGCTGCTCTCGCCGCTCTAGCTACTCCCCGCTGTGGGACTGTCCTCCGCCACTCATCCGAAGAAACGCGACAGGAGACCTGCGCGAACCATCGCAATCAGAGAGAGGCGAATTCAGGCGCTGTGCGGGCTGCTATACCGAAGGCGTTCGCCGTCGACTTACTAGCTTTGTCGCGCGCGCACTCGCTCGCGGAGCCCCACCCCCTTATTTGCGTGCGGTGGTTTGTGGCGGGCGTGAGCTGCCTGGCTATCATATGTATATACATGGCAAGGAGGGAGATGGGCTCAAAGCAGACACAGAAACTGTCTCGTGGAAAAAGAAAATCAAGATATCAGTTATTTTGATCAACATTTTGGACAGATCATGTTTTGCGGGATACATTTCTTACATGAAATGCTGTTGAACTTGTTGAAAATCAACAGAAAAAACAAGGTTTCATATCATGTTTTCATGTTACTTTTGTTAGCTCACGAGGTTCATATGAGAAATCAGGAACCTCGTACTAACAAATCTGATTGGTCGATTCGAATCAGCTATGCACATAAACACCATGTAGTGGTTTAGACACTGCCAACAGAGCTCACAGAACAGGGACAGGAGATTGCGGGAAGGATAGAGCGCAGTGTAGGCAGACGTGATGGATCTATTTCACTATGTTGACTGTCTGTAGATGAGGAAAGTGAGAGGGAGAAGCAGACGTTCAGACAGAGCTGACGAGAAAGGAGGCAGAGGTGACGAGGGCAGAGGAGACTATCAGGAGAGAGCAGCAGCAGATTCAGGAGATGAGACAGAGAGTTAGTCTAGTGTGTGTAGTTGTGTGTTGTGACTAGAGGTCCTCCTGACTGCAGGAGACTGAGTTAGTGCAGGCCAAGGACAGGGAGATAGCTCTGCAGCAGCAACTGGGGGAAAAGGAGCAGCAGATTCAGGAGATGAGACAGAGAGTTAGTCTAGTGTGTGGAGTTGTGTGTTGTGACTAGAGGTCCTCCTGACTGCAGGAGACTGAGTTAGTGCAGGCCAAGGACAGGGAGATAGCTCTGCTTCAGCAGCAACTGGGGGAAAAGGAGCAGCAGATTCAGGAGATGAGACAGAGAGTTAGTCTAGTGTGTGGAGTTGTGTGTTGTGACTAGAGGTCCTCCTGACTGCAGGAGACTGAGTTAGTGCAGGCCAAGGACAGGGAGATGCTCTGCTTCAGCAGCAACTGGGGGAAAAGGAGCAGCAGATTCAGGAGATGAGACAGAGAGTTAGTCTAGTGTGTGGAGTTGTGTGTTGTGACTAGAGGTCCTCCTGACTGCAGGAGACTGAGTTAGTGCCGGCCAAGGACAGGGAGATGCCTCTGCTTCAGCAGCAACTTGGGAAAAAGGAGCAGCAGATTCAGGAGATGAGACAGAGAGTCAGTCTAGTGTGTGGAGTTGTGTGTTGTGACTAGAGGTCCTCCTGACTGCAGGAGACTGAGTTAGTGCAGGCCAAGGACAGGGAGATGCCTCTGCTTCAGCAGCAACTGGGGAAAAAGGAGCAGCAGATTCAGGAGATGAGACAGAGAGTTAGTCTAGTGTGTGGAGTTGTGTGTTGTGACTAGAGGTCCTCCTGACTGCAGGAGACTGAGTTAGTGGAGGCCAAGGACAGGGAGATGCCTCTGCTTCAGCAGCAACTGGGGGAGAAGGTCAGTCATGAATGGTATTCCCTCAATTCACTGGCTATGAATATCAGTGTAGCTCTAATTTCACGCACCTGAACGTGTAATCGTATGTGTGGTGACTATAAGAATGTGAGTAAAAATTGTCGCAAATTATCCTCCTTTGTCATCGACTCGACAGTCTTTCTGGAAAAGCAACTAAAATAGCATACATTTGTGGCAGCAAGAGTACAGTATCTCTTACTTAGTGAGCTCGGTACTTTGTAGTAATGATATTATTGTTGTCGATGCGTGGACTTCTAAATCTTCTGAATTTTCTGGTCTCTAATTGAATGCAATGACATACGCATGTTGCAAAGACTCCCCTGGGGTTTGGGAAGGTGCCGGTCAAGGTAAGTCCCATTGTCACACTCCTCCAGCCCCTTCCCTCTCCTCCCTTTACCACCTCCCGTCCGTTTACCACTGTCCCTGTCAACGTCTTCCCTGGGACTCTCACTTTGCCTACCAGCGAGAAGTAACGCCTGTTTGCTATTAAAGCTGCACCGAATTTGAACGGTGTATGCATTGCATATCTCTAAACAGGTTGGCCTCGTCCATGGAAGAGCCTTGGGGGTAATCCTTGTGTTCAAACACTATTGCTCTGCACCTGAACTGGTACGAGCTCTTTGGATCCCACCCAGGTTTGAACTCAAATCAGCATTTTGACTTGCAGTCTTGTACGTTTGTCGATCGGGGCATTGGGGCACGTGACAACAATTGGAGATTCTTCAAAGATAGTGTGTGTTTGGCAATGCTGGACTCGATTTTTTCCCTTAAGTCCAAGTATAAGGTAGAGTTTTCTTTTCGCAGCTCTATTGCTATAACTATAATATATAGCCATGTTAGACATTGCCTTATAGTTTGCCAAACACAAGGTTTTCACTTGTTATTCACTCTTCGCTCTCTTTCTGTCCCAACAGTCTTACACATGTCAGGTCAGTGGACCTGGTCTGACATCAGCCACGGTCAACCAATCAACACACGTCCTAGTCCAACTAACTGACTGTAGTGGTAGACCACACTCACTTCCATTGAATGTCACCGCACAACTTGATCTTGTTTCAAAAGCCACACCCACAAATCAACCTGAAGCCACACCCACTAGATCAAGGTGGCCTCGGTCGAAGAAACAGCCAGAAAAACAGGTATCGGTTGCCATGACGTCTCCCTCCCAATACGAGGTGTCGTACACACCAGTCAGTCGAGGCCAACACAAACTCCATGTTCAAGTCAACGACAGAGAAATCAATGGCAGCCCCTTCTCTGTGACCGTGTACCCTGACCCCAGACAACTAGGCCACCCAGTGAGGACTGTGACTGGATTTGTCCGTCCATTTGGCATTGCCTTCAACAGTCATCAGGAGATGATTGTCAGTGAATGGGGTGGTCATAAAGTGTCTATCTTTGACATCAGAGGACAGAAAATCCGAACATTTGGATCATTTGGTGACAGTCCAGATCAGATGGTACTCCCTGCAGGCATAGCAACTGATAATACTGACGATATTTATGTGAGCAGTGAACACAAGCTACAGAAGTTCACTAGCAGTGGTGAACTGATCAAATGTATTGGTCGGAGTGGCAGTAAGGAGGGAGAGTTCAATGATCCACGTGGAGTGACACTGTGTGGTAATCAAGTGTATGTGTGTGATCGTGATAACTATCGCATTCAGGTGTTTGACCTCGACTTGAACTTTGTCCGATCCATTGGCTCACGTGGCAAAGGAATCAATGCACCAGTTGATGTCAAATTTGACACTGCCGGGAACCTGTATGTAGCTGAGGGTGGTAATGGGAGAGTGCAAGTAATGGACACCAGTGGCCAATTCATACGAGTATTTGGTCAGGAAGGAGAGGGAAAACTGTGTGGACCATCAGGTCTTCATATTGCTGACAAGTATGTGTATGTGTCTGATTTCAATGGTGATTGTATTGTAGTGTATGACACCTCAGGTCTGTTAGTCACCTTATTTGGAAGGCGTGGTCAGAAAGAGGGAGAGTTTCGTGGTCCATACTGTATCACCTCTTGTGTTGATGGTTTTATACATGTATGTGACTATCATAACGACAGAGTTCAGATATTCTAGAACACCCATGCTACTACATTCCATACATTTATCATAACAGTCAATTCAATCTCTAGACCCCTCCACCTTTTCCTATCACTTGTTAATCTCCTTAACACGTCTTCAGACACATTATAAAACCACAATGCCTTATTATCCCATGTTTTATGTAATTGTAAGCACTATCGTCTATTATAGTATAATAAGGCGTCTAATAATTGTGTGCTTCAGTGTTTAATAATAATATTATTGTACTTCATGTTTGTTGTGTTAATGGTGCAGTTCTCTATAAACTATTGTGCTGATGGGACAGTTGAATCACATAATAATATTCATCATTTCGTTAATTAGCATGTTTTGTAGTGCGTCTCTTATTAACCCTCGGCGCGCATGCGCAGCGAGGGTTACGGTAGTTGGGTTTGTGTGTCTGTCTCTTGTCTGTCTGTTACTCGTCATCTCACTTCTCGAGTGTTCGTTCGTCTCACAAAGGATGCCATCTACTGAACGGGCAATGAAGGTCAGAAATTTCGAACAGTTTCTCTGAAAACGCTCCGTTGCAAAGCTAGAGCGCGAAAAAGCCAATGTACAAATACACAACGGCATGATCGATCCGCGTGCTCTGCGTACCTCGGAGGCACCAGAAGAAGCAAGGCAGGGCGTGTATCGCCTCTCGCATGCTATCTAGTAGTGTAGTTAGCCCGCGTCAGATTCTGCGCGAGCTGGCAAGAGAGACCACGAGTAACAGCTAAAACTAAACCCAGCCCATCAATTAGTGTTACGGCGCATGCGTTTACTTACGCGTGCGCGTCACAGTGCGCCGAGGGTTTTCACTTCAGTGCTTTTGATTCTCATTTGTAATGACTCATGTATTATACTATTTCTGTTAATTAGTCTTGTAGTCAGCACTCATAATATAATACTGTGTCTTTCATTAAAAAAATTCTCTCCTGTGCAACGATCTTAAATATTACGCTAATCTGACAGTTTTTAGAATTCACACGTAGTTTACATTATGTGCGGTTGATATGCAAAATAATTGGTATTATTTATGTATATGTTTGATGGCAAGTATGCTCTATGAGCACGCAGCTTGAATAGAGCATACTTGCCATCATCAAACCTACTTGGTACAAGTCTCGGTAGTAACTACATAATAATATGCCACCCTTTTTAGGAAAGCCTTATAATTGTGTAAGCTCTTGACAGTATATACAGCACAGCAAATTTGTACAGCAACTGCAAGTTTGTATAGCATCAGTATGGCTAATGTGCTAAGTGGGTGTTACTACAAACCAATGAATTATCATAATCCCTCGTTGCCAGGGTAACATGTACCAAGTGGGCCACCATGCACTGCATAATACACCTGCACTAAATTTGTTTGAGGATATTTAACAACATACATTACATAATGATGACATCATAAACACAACGTTAAGAGTTCTGAATAAATGTATGCAAGAGAAAAGAAAGCAGACGTATAGTTTGAGCACTATAATACATTATATACTCCAGAACAAGAGGTTGGTAGAACACTATGTTTTTACTGGTGGGCTTTTTTATAAGTTCAACAGCCAGTTGTGTTTTTATGTGCTTGTTATAAAGTAGCTTTGTGAGCTTCAGTGGATATCAACTTCCAGTTTTGACCAAGAAAGCAGGTGTGTACTGACATTGTGGTGTTGGAGGTGTTGAGTCTTCGTTTGTTGACGGGAGGCGAGGGATGAGGGGAGGGGGAGGAGGAGGAGGAGTGGGCTGGGAAGTCAGTGGAATCAGTAGTTGGGCCACTGTTAGTAGAGGAGCCACTGGAGGTTGCTGGAGGAGAGAGAGAGAGTCTGGAGAAGGAGAGAGAGGTGTGTGGGTTAAACGTGCTACGACACAGTTGCTGCACTTTTTTTACCGAATGTACGTATCTTCTCCGCTGACCGAATTTTGTACAGATATAAATCGTTTTGTTTTTGTACAGAATACTTGATTTTTATAACACACCAAGCAATATCTGTATTCACACTTTTCTGCACATCAGCTCAGTGGATATTGTCCGCAAGATGCACATTTTTGATACGCAACGACTCTATTACTAATGGCAGAGGCGCGCTGATCTTTCTTGAAACGCTACTGCTTCGCCATGCCATCGTGCATAAGCTTACACGCATGCGCACCAAAGTACGGTAATGGCGATGAGTTTCTCTGCGACCATCCAGGGCGGAGGCCCTTTGTTCTCTCCGACGTCCAGCTCACTGGCACCGAAATCGGCGGCGAAGCCTACGGCAAAGTGGAGGAGGTGGTCGTTTCTGTGGGCGCCGCCGCCAAAACAATCTACGCCTTCTTGCGAGAAGCCAAGGCCGCGACGGAGTTCGCGAGGGAATGTCAGCTTATGAGCACCCTCCTCCACCCGAACATCGTCCAGTTTCTGGGCGTCGCTTTCTTTCCCGGCTCGCGACTGCCAGCCCTCGTCATGGAGCGACTGCTGACGAGTCTTCACGACTTGCTGGCTCCGGACCCGCCCCCTGCGTCCGGCGCCGTCTCGCCGTTGTCTTTCTTCTCCATGGCTCTCAAGTTCTCCGTACTGCACAACGTAGCGTGTGGCCTAGCCTACCTTCACGAGAGGTCGCCGCCCGTCATCCACCGCGACTTGTCGGCCAGAAACGTTCTCCTGGACTCGGAGATGGTGGCCAAGATAGCGGACCTGGGCGTGGCTCGTATCGTTCCTCGTGTGAGAGCTGCAGCCACCATGACAAAGGGACCTGGGGCCTTAGTCTACATGCCTCCAGAGGCTTTTGCACCAACTCGATCGAATACCGAAAAGTCGAAGTACGATTCCAGCATCGATGTATTCTCGCTTGGAGTTGTCACCATTTTCGCAATCGGTGAAGTCTTCCCCTGTGATCCTCTAGAGCACAACTACTTTGACGAAAAGAGGGATGCTGTTAGCTCGCACTGAACTACAGCGACGCGCTGAGTACATGCGATATGTAAACGAGCAACTCCGTGCCTGTGGCCAGCTCCGTGGGGACCACCCTCTCATTCGGCTGATCCAGCAATGCCTGCACAATCTCCCAGCCAAGAGGCCAGGTATTCGTGAGGTGCTGCGTCTGTTGGAGGAGGCCAGAGCTGGTGTTAGAGATGAAGGGAGTGAGAGGAACAAACGTGAACTGGTACGAGCTCTTCAGACCCAGCCCAGGAACCAGGTGAGGGACTGTACACTCATTAACCCTCGGCGCGCATGCGCAGCGAGGGTTACGGTAGTTGTCCCGTAAGTGTGTCTGTCAGTCTGTCAGTCTGTCATTAACCTCGGCGCGTATGCGCAGCGAGGGTACTGTAGTTGGGTCTGTCCGTCCGTCCGTCCGTCCGTCCGTGTGTCTGTTACTCTCAATCTCACTTCTCGAGTGTCTGTTCGTCTCACAAAGGATACGACCTACCTAACGGGCAATGAAGGTCAGAAATTTCGAACAGTTTTCTCTGAAAATGCTCCGTTGCAGAGCTAGAGCGCTTCCGCCATTGTACGGCTAATGCTAGTCGGCCATTTTTATCGCTGCGGAAAATGCGGATGCGCTTATATTTTGAACAGGCTCGGGTCCGCTTGTTCTGTGTCTGTGTATCTTGAAGGCACAAGAAGTCACAACGAAGGGCATGTATCGACTCTCGCATGCTATCTACTACTGTAGCTAGCCCGTGTCAGACTCTCTGCGAGCTACTAGCGGGAGACCACGAGTAAACGCATACTAATAGCAGCCCAGCCCATCAATCAGTGGTACCTCGCATGCCTAGTTCGCCGAGGGTTTGCACTTTAGTGCTTTTCATTCTGTCTGTTACCACGTTTTCTGCCACCGCGCGCACGAAATCAGGTAAATAGCGATATGATCGGGTTCAGTGCTACACTGGGTTGGTTTTAAAAAAGGCGATTTTCGTAAAACTACTGCGTTCTAAAGTTATGGCGTGAAAACCAAGTGAACAAGCCAATATGGTAATTAGCACAGGCTTACCTCGACTGCGTCCGCGCGCTCTGTGTATCTTGAAGGCACAAGAAGTCACAACGAAGGGCATGTATCGACTCCCACATGCAATCTACTACTGTAGCTAGCCCGTGCCAGACTCTCCGCGAGCTACTAGCGCGATACAACGAGTAAAGAAAAGAAAAGCCCAGCCCATCAATTAGTGGTACCGCGCATGCGCAGTTCGCCGAGGGTTTGCACTTTAGTGCTTTTCATTAGGTATGAGTTGATGTGTTGACAAAAACTCTTGTGATTCTACCAGAATTGGAGCGTGATTCTCCGATACCAGTGACAGAGAATGCTCATCTCCAGTCCCGTGGTGCGGCTAGACACGAGCTCAGCTACGCGGCACGCAGCATGGAGCCGTATGTGCGACGTAAGAGATGATTAAGTGGCACAGTCATGTTGTGTGTTTTTGCTTTAATTGCAGGCAGAGACATTGCTATCAACTGAGAGGGAGATGCAGACACTCGACACGAGCTCACAGACAGGTACATGGAGATTGGCTCGGAAGTTAGAGCACAGTGTATCTGCAGACTTTGGGAATATTTTCACTATGTTGGCTTTGTAGGATGAGTGAAAGTGAGCAAATATGTCTGAAGGCTCACTTTTCTGGTCACTCTTGTCTGAGCGCTTCCTTCTTCCCTCTCACTTTCGCTTTTCATCCTACAACAGTTCAAAAATAGTGAAGATATTCCCTAAGTTTTCTTACATTGTGGCTCTATACCTTCCGAGCAATCTCTCTGTCCCTGTCTGTGAGCTCTTGTCGGAGTGTCTGCATCTGCACACAACACTTGACTGTGCCACTCTCTAATGCTTCTGCCAGGAGACAGAGTTGACGAGACATATCAGAGCTGAAGAGAAATGATGGCAGGGTGATGTGGCAGAGGGACTATAGGGAAGAGCAGCAGCAGATTCAGGAGATGAGACAGAGAGTTAGTCTAGTGTGGTGGAGTTGGTTTGTGACTAGTAGGTTTCCTGACTGCAGAGACGAGTTGTGCAGGCCAGGACAGGGAGATGGCTCTGCTTCAGCAACTGGGGGAAGGTCATTCATGAATGGTATACCCTAAATTCACTGGCTATTAATATCAGTATAGCTCTAATTTCACAAATCTGAATTTGTAGGCTTATGTGTGGTAACTATAAGAAGTTAGTAAATTGCGCAAAGTGCCCTCCTTTTGACTACTTTCTGGACTCAAATCCAACCAATATCATACATTTGTTGCGCAAGACTACTGTATTTCCTTACTTATCGGTTTTCGGTAAATTTGGGCAGTAAGATATTAATTTTGTCCGATGCGTGGACTTCTAATCTTTCTAAGTTTCTGGACTCTAATTGCATGCGTGACATACGCATGTTTGCCACAGACTCCCCTGGGGGTTTGTGAAGGTGACGGTCAAAGGTAAGTCCCCATTGTTCACACATCCTTCCGCCCCTTCCCTCTCCTCCCTTTACCACTCCCGTCTGTTTACCACTGCCCTGTCAACATCTTCCCTGGACTCTCACTTTGGGACTACCAGCGAGAAGTAACTCTCGTTTTGCTATTAAGCTGCAACCGAATTTGAACGGTGTATTCATTGCATATCTCTATATACGGTGGCCTCGTCATGGTAGAGCCTTGGGGGTAATCCCTTGTGTTCAAACATATTGCTCTGCACCTAACCGGTATGATCTCTTTGGATCCAACCCAGTTGGTTGACTTCAAATCACAATTTGACTTGCAGTCTTGTACGTTCGTCGAGTCCGTGGCATTGTGGTCACGTGACAACATTGGCGATTCTTCAAGATAGTGTGAGTGTGTGGTTTGGGTTGATTTGCAAATGCTGTACTCAGTTTTTTCCTTTAAGTCCAGAGTAAGGTAGCGTTTCTTTTCGCAGCTCTATTGCTATACTATAATATATAGCCATGTTGAGACATTGCCTATAGTTGGCCAACCACAAGGTTTTCACTTTTATTCACTCTTCGCTCGCTGTCTGTCCCAGCACTCTTACACATGTCAGGTCAGTGGACCTGGTCTAACATCAGCCACAGTCAACCAACCAACACACGTCCTAGTCCAACTAACTGACTCCAGTGGTAGACCATACTCACTTCCACTGAATGTCACGGTACAACTTGAGCTCGTTTCAAAAGCCACACCCACAAATACACCTGAATCCACACCCACTAGTCCACCCGAAACCACAAGTAGATGGCCGTGGTCTAGAAAACCTCCCTCCCAATACGAGGTGTCGTACACACCAGTCAGTCGAGGCCAACACAAACTCCATGTTCAAGTCAACGACAGAGAAATCAATGGCAGCCCCTTCACTGTGACCGTGTACCCTGACCCCAGACAACTAGGCCACCCAGTGAGGACTGTGACTGGATTGGTCAGTCCATATGGCGTTGCCTTCAACAGTCATCAGGAGATGATTGTCAGTGGTTATTGGGGTCATAGATTGTCTATCTTTGACACCAGAGGACATAAAATTCGAACACTTGGATCACGTGGTGACAGTCCAGATCAGATGGAATCCCCTGCAGGCATAGCAACTGATGATGCTGACAATATTTATGTGAGCAGTTGGCACAAGCTGCAGAAGTTCACTAGCAGTGGTGAACTGATCAAATGTATTGGTCGGAGGGGCAGTAATGAGGGGGAGTTTGATGTTCCACGTGGAGTAACACTGTATGACAATCAAGTGTATGTGTGTGATAGCAATAACGATCGCATTCAGGTGTTTGACCTCGACTTGAACTTTGTCCGATCCATTGGCTCACGTGGCAAAGGAAGAGGTGAATTAGATGCACCAGATGATGTCAAATTTGACACTGCTGGGAACATGTATGTAGCTGAGTTTGGTAATGAGCGAGTGCAAGTAATGGACACCAGTGGCCAATTCATACGAATATTTGGTCAGGAAGGAGAGGGAAAACTGCGTCTGCCATCAGGTCTTCTTATTGCTGACAAGTATGTGTATGTGTCTGATTTGAATGGTGATTGTATTGTAGTGTATGAGACCTCAGGTCAGTTTGTCACCTCATTTGGAAGGTTTGGTGAGAAAGAGGGAGAGTTTCATAGACCATATTGTATCACTTCTGGTGTTGATGGTTTTATACACGTATGTGACTATGGTAACAACAGAGTTCAGATATTCTAGAACACCAAATGCTACTGTATCCATACTTTTATCATAACAGTCGATCTCTCCTTCACAGATATTATGTATAAAAGAAAATAATTATGATGCCTTATTATCCGACGTTCCATGTAATTGTAAGCAGCGAGGGTGCGGTAGTCGTGGTTTGTCTGCTGTCTGTGTGTGTGTCGATGCTTATTCTGGCACTACAGGCTACGAGGCGGCCCATTAGTGATACCAGCGGCTTCAGAATTACGCGAGCCTGAAAGACCAAAAGGGCGATTTTCCTTGAAACGACTGCATTCGAGAGATATGCCGTGAAAACAAGCGGAAAAGCCAATATGCATAATAGCACTGGGCTTGTCACACGAAAATTAGTCCCCCCCAAAAGCTGTCCCTCCGTGGCAGCAGAAAGAAAAATTGTCCCCCCATGGAATTCTATGCATTATGTGCGGTGGATATGCAAATGGATTATTTATGTGTGGGCCACCGTGCACGCGCCATAGTACACCCGCACTTAATTGTTGGACGATAGTTGACAACATACATTACATAATGATGACAGCATATACATAACAATGTTAAGAGTTGTTCTCAAGGCAGGAGCTATGGAGGATCTTGGAGCAGTTGATTCCTCGATGAGTGGCTTTCTCTGGTTTGACAAACAGTCGTGAGAAGGCTTGCAGCGAAAGTAGCGATGTCCCTTCACCGACCCATCGTTTCTTTCCATCTGCAGAGGGAGGGTGAAAGAGGAGTTAGGGACATGCAGGGGTTCAAACTTTTGCACGCAGTGTTTTAAACTGTTTGGATGCATGGGTATATCTATATCTGCTTAAAATAAAGCCAGAATTTCTGTATAATATTAACGCCTCGTATTATAATAATTCTTATGGCTCTGGACACACCGGCTTTCACATAATTATATAGGAAAATCCTTGCATTCAGACTGTGTAATGACCCCTTGTTTCTTCCTTTTTGGTGCTTCAAGCCATCCCTATATCCCCCTTCATTTTGAAGAAATGATTGTATAATATAATGTGCGGTTGATATGCAAATGGTATTATTTATGTATAGGTTTGATGATGGCAAGTATGCTCTATGAGTGGGCAGCAAGAATAGAGCATACTTGCCATCATCAAACCTACTTGGTACATATCATGGGTTAAATTTAATGAGCCAGGGGTTAAAACGTTTTGCAATTGGGGCAGTGTTTTAAACAGTTTGGATGCCATGGGTTTCGGCTTAAATAAGCAGAATTTCATGTATAAAGTATTAGCGCCTAGTATTATAACCCCATATAAATTCTTATGGACTTATGGTGGCTCTGGACACATGGCTTTCAGTTTTTCGCACGTATTTAGAATCAGGTAGAACGTTGCGGTACGTGTATTGCCCGTCACATAATATGTAGGAAAATCGTTTCATTCAGACGCGTACTAGATAGGCTTGCTTCGTGCGTCAATAATGTGTACTTACTAGGTTTCCGTAGTTCAATCCCAAGCCACACCCCCTTAGCAAACTGGGTGGTTCCGATGAACCGCACGACCACAAAATCAGCTCCAGTCACAAAGACACTCATCCCGGTCTCCAGAGTGACGCGTTTGGGAGGGAGGAGAGGGAGAGGGTGGAGGAGGAGAGGGAGGGAGGAGGGTGGGGGAGTGAGGAAGAAGATGGCGGTTAGAGAGGGAGACTGTACGAGGCTGCTTGGCTCGAGGTCCAGTTCTGAATGCAAAAATGGATGCAAGGGAAGAAAGAGAAAAGAAAGCAGACTTATAGTTTGAGCAATACATTATATACTCCAGAACAAGTGGTTGGTAAAACGCTATGTTTTTACTGGTGGCCTTTTTTCATAGGTTCAACAGCCAATTGTGTTTTATGTGCTTGTTATAAAGTATATAGTTCTGTGAGCTTCAGTGGATATCAACTTCCAGTTTTGACGACGCAAGCAGGTGTGTACTGCTGACTTTGTGGTATTGGAGGTGTTGAGTCTTCGTTTGTTGACGGGAGGCGAGGGATGAGGGGAGGGGGAGGAGAGGGAGGAGTGAGCTGGGAATCAGTAGTTGGGCCACTGTTGGTGGAGGAGCCACTGGAGGTTGCTGCTACTGCCAGAGGAGAGAGTCTGGAGAAGAAGAGAGAGAGGGAGAGAGAGAGAGAGGTGTGTGGGTTAAACGTGCTACGACACAGTTGCTGCACATTTTTTTACCGAATGTACGTATCTTCTCAGCTGACCTTTTGACCTTGGGAGGGAGGTAGGAATACCCGTGGCCGGGTTTACAGATGAAGTATCTTACTCCGGAGTGAGACCCCGAGTTGTCTCCTCCCCCACTGTCCAACTCCACTCCCATCCTTATCCTGACACACAAACAACACTAACTTTCAGTTTCGTAATAATATGGATTAGGAAAACCATACATCAATGATGTACAATTGTAGCGTAATGTGCGAGTGAGTAAAGGTTATCAAAGTTGCCTCGTATAACAGTAAGGGCGACCAATTTTCTGCTGATTACGTGAAATGTACGCTGAAGTACATAATTACCCAGGAGCAAACTTGACACTGCCGACGTATGTTAGAGTTTCGGTCCCGTTGCCTTCACACTGACTCTCTCTCTCCTAACATTCATGACGTGAGTATTACATGCAGATGCAAATGTTTGGCAAACTGAGGCATAAGGAAAGTAATGGGAAGTATATGTGCACTGCATGCTTGCGCAATGTCTAGCAAACTAGAAAACGAAGGGAAACAACTCTTATTCTGAAATTACCACTAATTAGTACAATTTGCCCCCTTGCTTCTTTGCCCCCAAATGTTTATGTACCACTGATCGAAGTTAAATTTGCTCCCTTGGTTCCCCCACGTCCATGAACACACCCCATCACAAACTCACCAAACTTGGGTTTGCAGGTGAAGAACCTGATCCCCTTCAGAGAGCCATCATTCTTCCCGGTGACTCGCAGTCCAGTTCAATCCCGCCCACTGTGCCTCGCCGGAAGGAAATTCTATCGCACCTCCATCCGCGCTGCAAGTACACACGGTCATGAGGTACCAACATATCAATAGGGCAAGGTGTTCTTTATTCATCCCGAGATGAGAGAGAGAGAGAGCAGAGAGAGGGGAATGCAGTGAGGCGAAGGATGAGAAGAGAGAAGAAGGGTAGTGAGTAATACAACGAGCGAGGTGAGTGGAGGAAAGAGATACAGACAGAGGAAGGAGAGAAGAGAAGGCCAATGCCAAGGGAGTGCGAAAAGACATAACACATGCATATCACTTACAGGCATGTGAAACTACCCCTGAACTGTGATTAGCAGATGAAACGCCTCTGAGACATATCCGTATGGTTTGGGGATTTGACAGTGGTCATTTGGTTGGAACCCAGACCGGTTTCCATGAGCTCGTCGTTGCACTGTCAATCACAATCAGTTCTGCGGAGAGACGCGATTTTGGAAAACCAACTGATAATCAATGCATAGCTAGCTACGGGCCTACGGCCCACGCAAGAGGTTGCTTCAAGCTAAGGTGTGTTGTTGTCTACTATAACCCTCGTGCTGTCATATTGTTCGTCATTGCGAGGACGTTACAGTAGTTGTACTTCTCTCGGCGCGCATGGTCGCAGCGAGGGTACTGTAGTTGGGTGTCTGTGTAGTGTCTGTTACTCTACATCTCGCTTCTCGAATGTTGTTGTCTCACAAACGATATGACCTACTTAACGGCAATGAAGGTCAGAAAATATGGACGGTTTTTCTCTGAAAATGCTCCGTTGCAGAGCTAGACGCGCGTGCAGCATGTAGTGGTATGGTTTTGTATGTATGGTAGCGCTATTTTATCGCTGGCGGATAATGCGCATGCGCTTATTTTAGCACAGCTTATGTACCTCGACCCGGTCCGCTTGCTCTGTCTATCTTGAAGGCACAAGAAGTCACAACAAATGGCGTGTATCGACTCTCGCGTGCTATCTACTACTGTAGCTAGCCGTGTCAGACTCTCTGTAGCTACTTCGCCGAGGTTTGCACTTAGTGCTTTTCACTGGGTGTGTGTGTGTTGTGTGGTGTGTGGTCGGAGATCACGAGAAAGGAAGGAATTCAAGAAAGATTAACTGGGGAGAGCTGTGGCGGCGTGTTGTCAGCGTCATAGCATGCAACTGTCCAGGTTGCCCCTAAAATACACCTGCAATCCTACCACAGACCTGGAGACTAGCTTGTAGACTGAGTTGTTGGAGGATGTAATTACTCGGTTGTGTGGTTTAAGGTACCTACGCCGGTTCTTTGTATTCACTATGCGGTAGTTTTTTCACGAATTTCAGGTGACACTAGGCTATGAATACATTAGTGTGGTGTGGTGTGTAACTCTCCATCTCACATCTTCGAGTGTTCATTGGTCTCACACAAGAACAAAAGATACTCACCTACTAGTACAGTACCAGTTCAAGCACGGATTTTTCACTGAAGTCTCCAATTCGCGAAGGTGTGCACTCGGACTTCAACGCGATCGTCGTTTCTCTTCTGCCGCTCGTCACTACAGTAGATCGTGGAGCGCTTCCACTAACTCAGCATCAGGGAGCCGCGCGCATGCGCCAGGCAAGGGCGTTGTCCACTGCCGTATTACCAGGTCGAGTTGGCAGACCTGCAGGAAACTCCAGGTGGTAGCCTATCTACACAACCCATGAACATCAGAGTGACTGTAACAATAAATGCAGTGTTGTTAAAACTAGTAATACTAGTGAAACAAGTGGAAAATCTTTCTTCAAATAGTGAACGATATAGGATGGCCTGAAGCACCAAAAGGAAGAAACAGGGTGTCAATTACACACGCAAAGTGCACAAAGCTACATAGACACATCCCTATATCTTTGTGTTTAGCAAAGTGCACAAAGCTACATAGACACCATCCCTATATCTGTGTTTTTAAGCCAGAGTTGCACAAGCTACATAGGACACCATCCCTATATCTTTGTTTTCAGCAAAGTTTAATATCCAAACAATGGTGTGCTCAGGCCATCCCTTTCATTTTGAAGCAGAAGAAATGATTTTTCCACTTGTATATATATAGAGCGTCTCTACCACCCCTTGTTCTGGAGTATATAATGTATTGCTCCTAGGGCCTCACATAAGTGCATAAGAATTACATGGGGCTATAAAGACTAGGACACTAACTTTATACACGAAATTCTGCTTATTTGAGCAGTATACCCACATGCGTCCAAAGGTTACACATGCAGTGCAAACATTTCAACCCCTGGCTCATTTGATCCTTTCACTCCCTCTCAGTCCTCTGCTGCAGATGAAAGAACGATGGGTCGGTGTAAGGTACATCGCTACTTTCGCAAAAAGCCTCTCACG